AAAGCAAACTTAATTAGATGCATGAACTGGGTCTGTGTGGGAACCTGGGACTGGGAGCAAAGGACAGCTTTTTGCTACATATATAGAAGAATGGTTTCAACTATTATTTATGCGCCAGCAAGGTCCCATTTATTCATCTCTTTCCTAGTTTTCATATGTGGAATATGGTGGTAAACCATGGGCAACTAACGTACAGTATATTGATCTCACATGGGTCTTTTATAAGCTTGTCCGGCCCCAACCGAGCTTATTAATTGGCTTTCCTTTACCCTTTTGCCGTACGTCTATGTACTGTGTACGTACATTAAGCTTGGAGAGCCCAAACCAGCTGAGTGGCAGGCTTAGAGGAGGTGTATTATAGAGATAGGGTTCAGTGCAGGTTGGTGTCAATTGAACCTCACTACATTGACTTTTTAATTATAAAAAAAAGGAGATAAATCCTTAAAGTAAGGAATATCAAATGCTCTTTGCCATTAAAAATTCATTATTCATAGGGATATTTTAACTGCAAATAAAAGATAAGTCCTTAAAATAAGAAATACCAAATGCAGTCTCAAGTTTACCTGATCAGTCTTAACCTTGGCTTCCGTGGGAATTACATTGTTCATAGATGGTATCTTCAACAAAGGCTTGCTAGATGCTATTTAGAAACTTTGTCATGACAGCATAGTTGGCCTCCGAAACATCTCCATGTATTCGAGCCCAGATCTCTTGCAAACAAAAATTAATTATGTTCACATGCCATCCCAGCAGTTCCATACATATATGTTAAATTCACGGAGAAGTATTCTCAATGTGCAACTGGACGCCTTGCTTTCAGGGTGTGCACTAAGAAACCTAATTGACCTGACTAATTTTTTTTTTCACCTAAAATTTTTGAAATCCTTTTAGACATTAATACCTAATCTATTTGATTCTCTTGAGATAAGAATGCCATCCCTTTCTTTCTTTTTATTTATTTATTTATTTATTTTATAAGAAATGGCTAAATAGTTAGTGGTTGCATTAGTGGCAACCAGGTGGGTTGAACTAGAACCCAAAGGTTCAACCCATCAACCCATTAATGTGAACAGCTGGTTATCCATTGGTGTAATCCGATAAATGCTTAAATTTGGGACATAAGTGTTCTTAAAGATTTCAAAGGACACATAATCAGTTTGAGCATCAGTTTCGGGAAAAAAAAAAAAACTCAAGCATTTAATACAATGTTGGTTACGTGTAGTGTGTGTTTTAAAGAAATACTTGTGTCAAAAATTCAAGCAGTGGAATTTCTGCTGGAATCCATTGCTGGATTTTTAATAGGAATGTACGTTAAAGCATGTAAATACTGATCATATATCATTATATTGTATTCACATGACAGGTAACCAACAGTTCATGAGTCTTCAAGTGCAAATTCTTGTGACCCCCAATAAAATAGAGGCACACCAAAAATTGTTTTAAAATTTGATTATTGATTATTTTAATTAACTATTGACTTGTCCTTACTTTATTGGGGGTTCAAAGGAAATACTGAGACCATGGCTGTAGTGTTATTAAATTTCCTCTTTCACCCTTTTGGCTTTCTAATGGTGCCTAAAACGAGAGAATGGGGGAGGTTTTTTATCGTTCAGTCCACCCATAGGTGGAGCTACTAGTAGACTAGGGGTGGACTGAATCCTGCCCATGGATTGATGCTAAATTTACAGGCAGAATACAGTTTGTAGGGTGGTGGGAGATGAAAATTAGATTTTTGAAAGAGATTACAATCCAAAAATCCTTAAATTAAACTACAAATGATCAATAACATACTATATATATATATATTATTAAGAGAGTATTGTGTATTATAAATAAAATGATGAATTGTAAGTAACTTGAATCTTGATAAGCATACAACATTCAAACCATGCTTAATCCAAATCTTACGTAGATATAAGTACATATATCTAAGTATTATATAAGACAAGGGTGGATCCATATTTGATCCGGTTGTAAATTGAATGAATTTAAGTCACCCTTAACTATATATCATATTCTAATTTGAGTTAATCAAACAGGCATCATTTGCAGCCCTATAAGAAGAATTGGAGTTCACTATGTAGCATTAGGCTACATCCCCAATGAAAAAAATGAGGTTTTACCTCACCTTGTTTGCATGAACTTCTATGTTTTAAATGAATATTTAGACTTTACACTCAGGGGTGTTATATAACATGAAAGTTTTGTTTTAATTTGTTTTAAAATTTGCCATATCAATAAAAAAATGAAACTTCTTGAATGGGGAATATATGTTTTGTTTTCAGACAAAGTAATGGTTTTAGAAAACAAAGACGCAAATCATAGGTTATAGATATCATGTGATCTATGAAACAAGCATGATAGGGGTGTTCAACAACATGGTTGCTTTTATTTTCAAAAACAAGCAACTGCCAGCATTAGAAAAATTGGTTTTGTTTTGCTAATGTGGCAGTTTATTTTGTTTTCAAAAATAAAACTAACCATGTTGTCGGACACTCCCAATATTGCTCGTTAGATGAAAACATGTTTTTAAACTAGAAATTCAAGAATACGTTATTTGTGTTTTTTGTTTTAAGAACCAATTTGTTTTTAAATCAGATGGTTTTGATTTATTTTTCGGACTCACAACAACAAAAAACAATTCATATTCGATAAACCTCCTTAGAGAGGAGGATTAACACACTTCCCTACATTTAGAAGAATATTTAAACTTAATATATGTTTGATTAGATACAAAAACAATCTTATGTTTTAAGAGTTCATTTTGGCTATTAGATCTTTATGAGTATTGTCTCGTACAGAGGGAAACTTAAGATCCTTATCAAGGTCGGAGCAGATCGATATCAGGGTTAGATTAGACGTCAACTTAATTTGAAGAGGACTCTATCTCTTGTTCATGGTTCAGTTTTCTTCCTACTTTGACATGGGGTCATCTGGATTGGCAAGAGAAAATACTAGTTTGGACTTATAAACCAATGAATTCGTTTAAAATAGGGGTGTAACTTCGATTGGTCTGAATTAAATTTTTACACTGTTTTGGGCTTGGACCCATTCAAATTTTCAACAAAATGCCAATCCTAATCCGCCCAAGTTGTACAAGTCATGAAAACAGAACACATTAGCCTCCTTTTATTGGGGCCAAAGTGAACTAATGGGCTGGAACAGGTTATGCCCAAATAGCTTCAAGCCTTTTTACCTAGACGTGTAAATTAGGTCAGCACAGCATGGCCTGCGGCCAGCCCGTGGGCTGGGCTTTGCTGTGCTTGCTACCTCTTGGATATTTCAGAGGTTTGACCCAATCCGGCCCGTGGCATGGGCCTAGGTGGGAACAGGCAATGCTGTCAGTCGGGTTGGTCCATGCGCTGAGCCTTGGGTCAGGTTGGGCCGCATGCCGGGCCTGGCACGGCCCAATTTGCAGATCTACTTTAACCTCTTTTGGTTGGGTCCATTGAAAATTTTAACAAAATGCCAATCCTAATCCGCCCAAGTTGTACACATCATAAAAACAAAACACATTAGCCCCCTTTTATTGGGGCCAAAGTGAACTAATAATTGCTTGCTTGGGGAGGAGAGTTTTGTTCAAGGGAGGTCTTCAGTATATGCTTTTAGAGAGGCTAACCAGGCGACAGGTTAAGTTGATCGCAAAACTCTTTCTTCTTCTTCCCCTTTTCTAGACTTTAGTATCTCCTCCCTTTCCTCTTTCCCTTCTTATTTGTTTTGTTGACTTTTGGGGACTTATTACCCCATTGTGTGTAAGACTTCTGACTTCGGCTTCAGTCAAGGCAAAGTCTATTTGAGCAGCCTTTATTATGTGCTTTATTTCATGGGGAAATATTTCTAATGCAAGATTGAAAAAGGCTGTGTGTGGGCACAAATTTTACCCTGAGTGATGGAAGCCGATCTCAACACTTTTAACCTTAGAATAAAAAAAGAACTAATGGGATGGAACAGGCTATGCCCAAATAGCTTTAAGCCTTTAACCAATCGTTGATCCAAAGTAAGATAGCTACGAGCCTCCGACCTAGCCATTCCAATACCCAAATTGGGACCGGGTCAGTAGGAACATGTGCCAGACTAGTCCAAGATGCTACTGTGTCACTGTATCAAAACTTCAATTTATCGGTCCATAGTCTATACTGAACGAGACGAGATCTACTCCCTATCAAATGGGTGCCTCACATGCATATCCACCATGCATTGAGAACATCTCCCGTGACTAATAATTAATTAGTACGGGAGATGTTCCCAATGCACAGTAGGATGTGCATGTGAGGCGCCTGTGAGGAAAAGATCCGGTCTCATACTGAACCGCAATAAGTATTGTACTAGTATTTTGATAATTTATTGTACTTGACATTTATCTATTACACTATTATTTTTTTGGGAGAATGATTGTTCATGCTTCAGCCCATTGAATTAATAATATTATTGACATGATTAAGATCTGTGCCTCATAATGACCTTACAGTCACATCCCACTGTGTATTAGGAACATCTCCCGTAAATAATGACACATAAGTATGGAAAATGTTCTTAATGTAGCTTGTGAGGAAACTAGATCTGCTCTGCCATGCATTGTGAACATCTTCCATACTTATTTATTAATGTATATTCACCGGAGATGTTCCCAATGCAGAGATTGAATCTACTCCTCACACCTGGCACCTCACAAGCGCCTCACACACACATCCTATCATACATTGGGAACATTTTTGGTACTTATTTGTTATTATTCACGGGAGATGTTCCAATGCATGGTGAATATGCATGTGAGGCGTCCATTTGTGAAGAGCAGATCCCGTTACGCTTGTGAGACCCCCTGTGTGAGGAACAGATCCGATTTCAATTGACGGTGCCAACTAGCTCCGTTGGTAACGTTTCTGGCGGGGATCAAATCCTGCCGTCGATTTGGTTGTTGATCGTTATTAGGGTTAAGTCTCCTACAATGACCGTTATCGCACATGTTAGCTTTCTCTGACTAGTCGAAGACTCGAAGTCCCAAAGGGACCAGGATTCCGGAGTCTGGACTCGGTTCTGACTCTTTCCCTTTCTTCGCGCTGCAACGTGGCAAAACGGTGCCAAACGGCAGGGTACCTATCCTCCGAAACTATAAATTGGAAAAAGAATTCCAATGCGAAGGAGCTCGACGTCCTCCCTTTCTTCGTGCTGCCAAAAGTAACAGCTAGGGTTACAAAAATCATGGAAACTGCTTCCATAGCTTCCCTTCTCAAATCATACTCACTACCTCTGCTTCTCTTCTCCCTTGCCCTATTCTATCAACTCTTTGTTATTCCTTCTGCTTTCCCTCCTTCTCATTACGACGGTGAGTTGCTTCTCTCTCTCTTTGAGCTGTAATTTTTACTGGTTGTAGGTCTTTTATTCGTTTTGGTTCTTGTTAACATTGTAAACCAATCTTGTGTTCATTCGTTCGGCAGTTCTCGGTATCGAGAGGTACAGCTCCATCGAAGAAGTCACCGAAGCATACGAAAGGCTTTCATCCAAATGGTAACCTTTTTTAAAATATTTTGCTCAAATTTCTCAGCTTATTGATTTCATCGACTTGGAACACTTATGAGCAATTTTTCATTCCTGAACTTACGCTATAAACTGAGTATGTGGTTGGTGTGAGTATAAAAAAAGTTCGTGTATGCTTGTCTTTGTATAACCTATGTTAAGGAAGGAGCTTCCTTTCAAGATTCAGTGTTTTCAGATCGTTAATTAGTATCTTCTTCAGCAATTGCTATTGCAGATCATTTGAACTGGAAATTGTATTTGAAAGCATCAATGTCTAATGTTGATTTACCTGTTATGGCCTTATGGGATAATGCGTTCAGATGCCAATTGTACTGCTTCATATTCAGCAGGCTCCATAATGGCCGGGCTTCTTCCATGATTTAGGGCTGCAAATGGATTGGATTTACTAAGTCAACTGGTTAAAGTTGGATTCCGACATATGTTCATAATTGGATCAAATTGGACCGGTCCATTTATTAATAAGATTGGACTGGGATATTGGCAGGAGACTGTGCATTGGGCTGCCCTTTTATAATTCTGCTTCTGCAGCTTCAGATATGGCAGTGACCATTTCTTTTGGTTCATCAATAGTTTGTTTTTGTTGCTAAACCAGACTCTGTAAAATTTCAGGAACTCCGGAGTTGAAGTCCCTGCTACATCTGATTTTATCAAGGTTAGCAAATTTTCTTTTCCCCTCACTTCATGTTCTTCATATGTAACTCAGTTCAACACAATGAGTCTTATCCAAGGTTTAAAACTTCACAACATATTGGTCCATATCGACCGATACGTTGCATTTCGTTGAAGATCTGATACACAGAACATAAAGAATCTGTATGTTCCGTGTATTTTCATTAGTATCGGTCCGTTTCGGGTCTGTATCAGCCGATACAATCCTGATACAGTCCGATACACTGTATGTATCAACCAACCGATACAACTTGAAATTCAATTCCGAATTTAATGATCTTAATTCAAATTTATTTTCCATCCTCTCTTAATATTAGTAACTTTTCAAATTCAAATTCAATGACTCTTAATTAATTATCACATATAATAACACGCTATTAAAGGCAAATTGAATAGAGCATTTAAGGCAATGTTCAAATTCGAATTTGAATTTGACATGCCACTAACTTGCCTATTAAAAATCACAAATAGAGGATAAAGGGATTTGAACCCTAGTCATTTGTTTGTAACGACTACAAGTCTACCACTATGCCATACCACAAGTGTTTGTCATATAAATTTGTATTTTAATTCTTAATTAAATTTGTTTGTTAGTAGATGACTACCAATAAAAGCTAAAATTCATCATTAAATGTTTAAAGAACCAGGCTGGACATCAAACCAAAAAAGGGAGAGGTTCATAGGTTAGAGGTTCAACCGAGGTCAAATTGTGATGACGTAATATATTATATATATCACATAATATATTATATAATATATATATCATATAATATATTATATTAATATATATTATTATACATATATACAATATTATAAATTATATATTGGATTCTAATATATTCAAATTATATAATTGCATTCTTTTATAATATATTTTATTTTAATTTCAATTTTTTTATAAGGCACCTATATTGAAAAGTTACCCAAAATAAAAACAAAGGTCACCACAATAGGACATCTCAGCAAAAAGTTATGGCCTTTAGAAGTTTGCATTTGTTATGATTCGGCCTACCTTGGAGTTCTGTTTGCCTGAGATCAGTCACGTAGAGAGAGGTAGAAAGGTGGAAGAAAGAGAGAGAGAGAGAAAAGAAGAAAATCTGGTTCGAACTGGAAGTCAAAGAACATAACTCCCATTCAGCTAGACATGTGCTTTTATTATTAAAATTAATGAAAAAGACATATGTGCCCTTATTTAAGTAAGGAGCACTGGTTCTAACACAATATTACAGATCAACAACCTTAATCTAAGTATAAAGACAGAAATACCCCTAAGCTAACACTCCCCCTCAAGATGGGAGTATACATATGTAGTCCACTCTTCCCCGACTCAAGCCTTTTATAAATAAGTCTACCCACTGGTTTCTTGTATTAACATATGCAGTGTCTAGCTCCCCATTCAACACCTTCTCCCTCACAAAGTGAACAATCAACCTCAATGTGCTTGGTTCTTTCATGAAACATCGAATTAGAAGAAATATGAACTGCACCCTGATTGTCACAATAGAGCTTCATTGGAGTATTGATGTTGTACCCTACTTCCTGTAGAAGGTTCCTTAGCCACACTAATTTACAAGCAGTATGCGCCATAGCCCTATATTCTGCTTCTGCACTACTTCTTGCCACGACTGTCTGCTTCTTACTTTTCCATGTCACCAGGTTACCTCCCAGGAAAGTGCAATAGCCTGTGGTAAACCGCCTATTAGACATAGAACCCGCCCAGTCAGCATCAGAATACCCTTTATTTCAAGTTTTCTGCCACTTTTGTATATCAAACCGTGACTTGGAGCCCCTTTTAAATACCTCACAATTCTCAGAACTGCATTCCAATGAGGAATCAGAGGTTTCTGCATGACTGACTCACCGCACTAACTGCAAATGAGATGTCTGGCCTAGTAATGGTTAGGTAGTTCAGTTTACCTACAAGTCATCGGTATTTGCCAGGGTCTTCAAACACTTCACCCATATCACTGCTTAGCCTAGTATTTGTGTCCATAGGTGTTTCAGTTAGTTTAGCACCCAACAAGCCTGTTTCTTCCAACAAATCAATCACATATTTCCTCTGGCACAGATTAATACCATACTTAGATCTTGCTATCTATATCCCCAAGAAATATTTCAGTTTACCAAGATCCTTTGTCTGAAAATGATCCTGTTGATAAGTCTTCAGCCTGTCAATACCCATGTTATCATTCTCGGTAATAACAATATCATCTAGATACACCACCAACATTATTTTTTCTCCCGGAGAGCTATGACTGAATACAAAATGATCAACTTGGCACTGTTTCATACCAAACTTCTTTACCACCTCACTGAACCTACCAAACCATGCTCGAGGAGACTGTTTAAGCCCATATATAGCCTTCCTTAGTCTGCACACCTTACCATCCTCCCCCTGAGCAACAAACCCTGGAGGTTGCTCCATTTAGACCTCTTCGAGTAAGTCACCATGCAAAAAGACATTCTTGATATCAAGCTGATATAGCGACCAATCATACATAGCTGCAAGAGAGATCACAACACGAACTGACCCTGTCTTAGCAACTAGTGAGAAGGTCTCTATGTAGTCAATACCATAGGTTTGGGAGTACCATTTTGCTACTAATCGCGCTTTCAAGCATTCAACACTACCATCAGGCAGATACTTAACTATATAAACCCATTTACAACCAACAGCTTGCTTCCTAGGAGGAAGAACGGTGAGGTCCTAAGTATGATTATGATGAAGGGCTGAAAGTTCTTCTTCTATCGCACAACACCACCCTGAAGAGTTAAGGGCTTCCTGGACATCCTTAGGGACAACAACTTATGATAACAAGGTGACAAACTGGCGATGGGAGGCAGAAATGTGAGTAAGTGAAACATAATTAGAAATATGATGAATGGTGCAAGTGCGTTTACCTTTCCGCAAGGCAATGGGGAGATCAAGCTCAGATGCTGGGTTCGGGTCTGGAGCCGAATTTGTCGATGGAGATGTAGCCAGAGGAGTAGTAGCTGGTACGCATGGGCAATGTGTATACACATGACGGATAGGTGGGCGTTCAACAGGTAGTGGCACCGGAGGCAAGGATTTGGTCACGACTGGAACAAGGGGAAGAGGGTCGGCAATGGGAAGTGGAAGAGGAGGTGATGAGGAGGAAGAAGCATCACCGGACCAAAAAAAAACGTAGACTCAAAGAAGGTGACATCAACACACACAAAGGGCCGTCGAGAACTAGGATGGTAACACATACCCTTTCTGGGTCCGAGAATAGCCAAGGAAGATGCACTTGAGAGAACGGGCGTCGAACTTGTCGTTCCTGGGACCCGGATTGTGGATGAAGCAGACACACCCAAATACCCTAGGCGTAAGAGGGAACGGAGACAAGGCGGGAAACAAGATCATAAACGGAGAATGATCATCAAGGATGAATGTGGGCATCCGATTAATCAGAAAGCAAGAGGTAAGCACCGCATCACTCCAAAAGGGTTTGGGAACATTCATGTGATGCATGAGGGATCGTGCTGTTTCCAAGGGATGRCGATTCTTTCTCTCAGCCACCCCGTTTTGTTGTGGGGTGTAGGTACATGAGGTCTGATGTATAATGTCGTGTTGGTTCAGGTATTCTTGAAATGATGAGGATAAATATCATGACCATTATCAGAACGGAAAACTTTAATGTGAATACCAAATTGATTACGAATCTCAGCATAAAATTTCTAAAAAATGGTAAACAATTCACTTATTTCTTTCAATAGATAGAGCCACGTCATCATTGAAAAGTCATCTACAAAAATGACAAAGTATCTATATCCATTATATGACATCACGGTTATCAACCCTAGAACTAAAGGGAACACGATGGTGTTTCCCAAACTGACATGACTCACAATCCAAAACAGAAAGTTGACTCAAAAATGGAACTAAAGATTTCAAGACTTTTAGCGACGGATGACCAAATCGGCAGTGCCACTGGAGAGGAGAAATGGATGATTGGAGAGCTGTTGAAGTTCTTCCACCACCGCCAAGATAATACAGTCCACTAGCTTCATGCCCTCCATTAATCTTCATCCCCGTCTTGARATCCTGAAAAACACACATAGAGGGATAAAAAGTAATGTAGCAGTTAAGTGATTTGGTCAGTTTACTAACAGACATAAAATTAAAAGGCAATTTAGGAACATACAAAACTGAGGAGAGAGATACAGGGTCTAGGTCAACATTACCAACACCACAAATTGAGGATGTGGAACCATTAGCAAGGGTGACAGATTGTGATGTTGAGCAATGAGATAGGGAAGAAAACACACCTGGAGTTACAATCATGTGATCGGAGGCTCCAGAGTCAATGATCTAGGGATTGGGTGTGGATGCCAAATAAGCCATACCTGAGTGAGCGAAAGTCGCCGTGTTCTGCTGTGATTAGATAAACCTCTCATATTCATCACGGGGAACACTCACCATTTCCTTCACAGGACTATCTGTGGATGTAGGAGTTATTTGATCAGATGAACGATTCTCCTGTCTAAAGCTGGAACTGGTGTCACTAGTCATGGCATGATTGGCCCAGGTTGAGGGTGGACCATGTAGATCATAACAATAGTTAATGGTAATCCATACGACAATGAGTGGACCTCCTCGGGCCTGAGCCACGTCCTCTACCACAGACTCCCTCTGAATCTCTGCTCCCAGTACGACCACCACCACGATTATAAGTAGCCCCGCCATTGCCACTTCGGCCATACACCGGACCACTACTACCACCATGGCTAGACTGAGCTCCCCAAGCTCCACCTCTAGCACCACGGCCTCTTGACACAACAAAGGCAGATCTATCTGAGATATTAGAGTTCTTAGTAGATCCGATAGAAGTCCTCCGGAGTCGAGCAAATACCTCTTCTAAAGAGGGGAGAGCTGATCCTCCTAGTATCTGAGCCTGTACTGGTTCATATTCAGATTTCAGTCCCACAAAAAATCTAGTCACATCAAGTTGTTCTCTCTATTGTTGCTGAATCTTGACATTAGAAGTGAGAGGGTGATAGACATTCAACTCATTACGTATGTTTCTCATACTGGCATAGTACTCATCAAGACTCTGATTGCCCTGTTGCAGATTAAAATACTCCTGATACAGCTGATACACTCTGGTTGTATTGTCTTGACCCGAATACAATTTCTTCGCATGGTCCCACACATCTTTGGCAGTGTCAAGAAACATGAAGTTTACACTAATCTTGGGTTCCATACTATTCCATAACCATGTGATGATCTGAGTATCCTCTTGGTCCTAGTCTTCATACTCGTGAGAGTTAGTGGAGGGTTTCTTCTCTCTTATATGTTTTACCTTCTTCTTTGCCTTCAGAAAGACTTYRACRGATTTAKCMCAAGGCACATAATTCTCTCCATTTAGTTTAATGGAGGTCATCTGAACATTCAGGTAGTTTGTAGGCACCATCACATTAGGTTTACAATCACTGTTATCTCCCATTCTGTTATCACCGATTCTGCACACTTGCTGAATTCTGCACACTGCACACGACTAGATCATACTCGTCACACTGATTTCAGCACTTGTTGTTGCTGAAAAGTGTACTCTTTACACCACAAACCCTACTCCTACGACTACCTGAAATGTCACCACTATATGATCACAATTCTTCCTTCGAGACACACAAAACAGCATAAACCCTAGCACATTATCTGAAACATACTTCCTATTTGATCCACAATAGAAATCATGCACAAAAATCTCTTACCTTATCACTGAAGGAACAACCACACGAGCAGAAAATTAGTCCACACAAGACAGCCACTGCACCACATAGGTCAACCCTCTTCTCTTCATCGATTAGGGGAGGGCGATCTTAGAAACCACAGCAACCGACCACACAAGACACAATTGGAGGCATAGAAACCTCCAGGGGGAGAGGGCGATCACTCCTTTTCATCCCTTTTCCTTATCTCCAGTTGAATGCAGGAAAATCAAGAGAAACCCTAGATAGGGTGCACAGAGAATAGAAATCTAGGCAGACAGAAATCTAGGTAGATTCGAGTGGTTCTGATACCTTGTTATGATTCGGCCTGCCTTGGAGTTCTGTTTGCTTGAGATTAGTCATGTAGAGAGAGGTAGAAAGGTGGAAGAAAGAGAGAGAGAGAAAAGAAGAAAATCTGGTTCGATCTGAAAGTCAAAGAACATAACTCCCATTCGGCCAGACATGTGCTTTTATTATTAAAATTAATGGAAAAGACGTATGTGCCCTTATTTAAGTAAGGAGCACTGGTTTTAACACAATATTACAGATTGGCAACCTTAATCTAAGTATAAAGACAGAAATACCCCTACGCTAATAGCATTAATGTGCTAAAACAATTTAAAAAATCAGTTGTCTTTCTAAAACTTGGACTGATTCACTAGTTTGCGAGTTTGACTAGTCGGGTTGGCAATTTTGGCAAATTTTTAACCCAATCTAGTCATGGTCCAACCGGTCCAATAGGCCAATCGGTCCTATTTTCTAAAAAATGTTAAATGTTAATACAAATTATATTGATTCTTTAAATACTATGGTATGTATGCATACACAAACATTTTAATTATTTCCTCATTTTTCAACGGTTTACAATTAGGTTTCAATATTTCACACTTTGTATAAATCCCTGAAATATGGATTTTTATGTTTAAATAGCTTATTTATGGTGATATAAAACTCATATTTATTGTAATTAGCATAGGTTTTTAGGATTTATATGAGTTTCTTAGTGTATCCATGCGTATCTTAAGCGTATCTCGATACGCCTCTTAAAATTGTCTCTCTGATACACATTGCGTTTCCGATACTTTAAACCTTGGTCTTATCCCAACAGGGTTGGGCTACAGAAATCTTGTTTTGTCGATTTCCTTTCTCAAGAGCCATAATTTTTGCCAAATTGTGACCTCTTGGATTCATTTTGCATTACCTCAACTCATGTCCTTTATCCCATCCCCCAACTCTTTTAGAATATGAACTTGCTTTTTTATTACTATGGATTTAATCGAAAGTAGCTTTTTTTTTTAAATATTTTCTAGGTTTATATTAGTTTCTTAGTGTATCCATGCGTATCTTAAGCGTATCTCGATACGCCTCTTAAAATTGTCTCTCCGATACACATTGCATTTCTGATACTTTAAACCTTGGTCTTATCCCAATAGGGTTGGGCTACAGAAATCTTGTTTTGTCGATTTCCTTTATCAAGGGCCATAATTTTTGCCAAATTGTGACCTCTTGGATTCATTTTGCACTACCTCAACTCATGTCCTTTATCCCATCCCCCAACTCTTTTAGAATATGAACTTGCTTTTTTATTACTACGGCTTTAATCGAAAGTAGCTTTTTTTTTAATATTTTCTAGTCAAAAAGAAATCATGAGCTAATATTTAATTACTTCTTGAAGAAATTGCTTTTTGCTTGATTATCGACAAGTAATCAAAATGCAAGAATCATATTAGGGTTGAGTTTTTGTTTGGGATTTTTCCCCTTTTTTGATGACACTACGGAAGGGACACCTACCAATACAAAAATATAAAAGGAAATCTTCATATTAGCCAATCTCAGACCTAGGCTTACCTAAAACTGTTGATTCTTCACTGAGAGAAAGAAAGAAAGAAAACATTCTACTTTTAATGGAGGTTCCTTTTAACTGTTAGGCAATGGATTTTTTTTGATAAATAAAGTGAATTTGGCAATGGGATATTTAGCCCCTATAGTTCACTTTGATTACAAAAGTATACCTTTTTCTCTCCTCGCAAAGTTTTTCGAAAGGTCAAAAGAAGCTACTGTAATTGGAAAACAGAAAAGAATTTATTAGAAGCTGGGTTATGTGATCTCTGGATATTTACAATCCAACTTTCATATTCATACAGAAGCAGTTTGAGCCTTATAAAGAGGAATTTGTTTAATAAAACTGGTTGGTTTTACTCTGAAAGATTTTCGAACATTATGTTGGTCTCCTGTGTTTATCTTTAGATTTTTTGTTATAATTATATGGAAATCCTTTGCAGATCCGCTATGCTTTTGAGCTACTGAGGAATCCCTTATGGAAGAGGGACTATGATCAATTTGGCATTGATGAGCAACTTGTGAGTTTTTAGCAGTCACAATTAAGCCTACTACATGTGGTTGGTTTAATTAATGCTTGACTCATTTAAAGCCACTTCCTTTGCTGTAGCATGTTATCGAAAAGGTTAAAGGACAATATATTGGAGAAAGCTTTGTAGAAGTAGACCTCCCACTTTTAAATTCTTCTGGTTAGTTATGAGGTTCCATCATATTGTTTGTTTTCATTGGTAAAATTTCAATTAGGTTACTTGTAAGTTGTAGCAGTATTAAGTGCTAATGCACAATACTTTTTTTCAGGTTCTACAGACAATGCTTTTAATGTTCTTACATCTGAGGATTTCCAAGCTACTATTGGGAACTCAGAGGCATGGTTAGTTCAGGTATGACAGATTATATTATAATTCTACTGTTGCTGTATTATGAAGTGTAGCATGGAATCTCCTAAATGGACACCATGTCTGAGTTGGACACATGTCAGAGTTTGACACTCAGATTTGTGAGGAGACTTCCATGCAATATTTCCGTTTTTATCTCCTCTAGCTTATTTGACATAAAATGGACAACCAACTTACAAGACAAGTTCCATTTTTCATACCAAATGTTTCTTGGTAATAAAGGTTACATTTTATACCCCGCTTTGCAGGTATATAATGTTAAAATTCAAAAAAAATATAAGCTATTTTAATATTATATATTTTTCCATTGATGTGTCCACAAGTCCATGTTTTTTCATCTTGTGGAGTCAGACTCTTGGAGACATGTGAGATTCTCACTACTATGTTTGTGTGCATGCAACACTAATTATGATAAAGGATCAATATATCAATCATTATCTAAGCCTTGCCCCAACTATATGGGGTTGGCTAAAGGATCAAATATCAATGTGATCCATTATTTAAAAGAATTTGAAATGTTAATGGATATTAGACCATATAATTAGATTGCAGAAATAGGAATACAGAGACTGGAGAAAGAAAGAACTGAAAAAGAAAAGAAGGCATTTTTTCCTTGTGGCCACAAAAGTTTATTGGATAAAGTATGTGTGAAATCCACAAGTTAAAATCTCCAAACAAAACACTCACCGGGCCAGGTGCCTCCAAACCAGTTCTCTAGTGATCACTTCCCTAGATGGTAAATCAACACTCTCATTTGCCAATCATGGAACCCATCTGAATGAGAAATTTGTTATGAATATAAAAGTTTAGCTTCTCTTTGCTGAAACCTAAGTGGCCAAGTCTCTCAAGGAGTTTAACCTCATCCTTTGTCTTGTTTAATACTTATTCTTTTATGTATGCTATGTGATTCTAGTTAGTACTTAAGTCTATTTTAGTATTTTGTATCGGCTGGGCATACCTGGGCCTTGACTTGCCAAGGGAGGATAACATGCCCAATTGCCAACCATCATGACTACACTTTTTTCAGCCCCAAAATTTACTCCTGGTGGAGGGTGGCCACCATAATTTTATTAATATAAAAAGTAGCCTAGGAAGAGGGAGCATAATTACCTTTGTATTAGGTACATGCCTAGGTGCACCAGCCGCATGCCATTTGAAAGTGCTGTGCTTGGGCCCTAGGCGAGAGACATACCTAGGCACACAATCAAGCATGTAAAACCCTCAATCTCTCTTTTTGTTGGGATTAAGAATTTAAAACCCTAACATGGACTTGTTTGGGCTTGCCTAAAGGGGCTTGGTACAACGACTCGTAGAATCAGGAATGTAAAATGCATCGCATTAGCTATTTGAAGTAATGCAATTTGGGGAAAAAGAGGTTGAGGGTTCTACATGCTTGAATATGTTTTATATGCTTGATTTTGTTTTTAAATTTTCATTTGAATAATGTTTTATATGTTATGCTTATGTATTTTAGTTTTAGATAATAGTATTATTAAAACATTTATTTTAAAATATAAGTTTATATTTTTAATTAATATTATGTTTATATCTTTAGTTTTTACCTTTTTGCACTTTTTGATTTTTTGTCATTTTTTGTATTTCTGCTCCATGCTTTGAAAAGGCCTGCGCCACGCCTTGCACCTATAAAAGTAGGTTTGAATGGTAGAGAAGAAAGGTAAAAGAGAACTGTATGGCTGTGTCTCAACAAACCACACACACCCAAAAATTGATATTTATATTAAAGACACAAAAGGACAATTCTATCCTCAGGATACAAGGAATGTATAAAAATTGTAAAATAGTCTAGTTGCAAGGAGTATAATGCAAATATGCTCCCAAGATACAAAAATAATAAAAGATGAAATTAACCCTCTATGTCTCTGCACTCCCCCTTAAACTGATGCTGAGGAATAAGCATCGGTTTGTCCATAAGAAAGGTATGCTGTGTTTTTGTTATTAGTTTTAGTAAGAAATCTACAAGCTGAAGCCCAAAAGAGACATTAGGTAGTGAAATATGGCCTACAAGATGGAGATCCCTAATAAAGTGACTGTCAACTTCAATATGCTTTGTACAGTCATGAAATACAGGATTGGAAGCAATCTTGATAGCACCAAGAATCTTTGGTTTCCTCCTTTGAATTCTTACAACATATGCATTTAAGTTAAATTTGGACTCCCACTCTTCTTATATTCTCATCAACTTGTATTTTGTTCAATAGTTCCTTCCAATAGAACTTTTGAGGTATAGAAGAGTTCCACACCTATTAAATGAAAAGTTTATATTAGAAGAGAATGGGCTCAATTGTGAGCCTACGGAATCCAGTAAATATAAAATTGTTTACAACCCAATTAAATGGGTTGGCTAGTGGACTAACTAAAGCCCATTTAGATTAAAAGAGGTGTCACATACTGGTGTTCCCTCTCTTTAAGTGGGAGACTGGATGTCATTCACCTACAGCGAGGGGAAGTTACATAACTACTTCAATCCCTATAGATGTAAATCAGTCCTCAAATATTAGGTGTAAATTTGAAGATTAGAGGGAAAAAAAGGAAGAAGAGAAGTAAGAGCAGCAGTACAAGAGAAGAAGATGGCGAAAAGAGAAGGAAGAAGAAGAAGATTCGAATTATCTTCCCTTTCTCCTCTAATCCTTTTTATTAAGAATTAATGTTAGAGTAATGACAAGTATGCCCTTAAGTGGGCGGCCAGCTAGGCAGTAACATAAAGAGATTAAACAAAAAGAAACAACAAGCCCATTAGCCAACAAGAAAAGAAAAGATATTACAAGAGAAGATACTAGGACCCATTCGGCCTAGTCTCTTTACATCTATTTTAAGTTCTTGGAGGGATGCTTCAAACCCCCTTCAAAGAAAAGATTTCTTAGATAGCCACACTCTTAGAGTCTTATGGAAGTCCATAGTGAAAGAGAAGAAAAGAAGTCTCATGGAGAAAAAGAAAGAAAAAAAAAGGGAAGAGAAGGGGAAAACACTACTCTCACAGGTTGGTGAAGGAAAATTTTCTGTGCAGGCATCTCCCAGAAATTCTATTTGATATTACGTATCCTTTTCCTTCTCTCTTTCATTCAATTTCCAAATCTTACTTGTAAGGGAAGTAGAGGAAAAGAAACCATCTACAATGAAGTGCTTCTACTTGGTTGATTATGGTTTCTCTACCAAAGCAAGTTAGGGATTAAGCCATCTCCAGCCTCATTCCCAAGGGTTGATTATTATTATTTTTTTGATCAATAATGATAAGCTTTATTAATGAATAAGTTTTGTGAAAATTTAATTACAAAGGGGGAGGTAAACTATCTTAACTCCCCAACAACAAAAAAACAAAGAAAGAAGCTAAAAATTAGCCCAAAACAGAGATTCCCTAAACGCCCCTTGCTTGGCTAATCCATCAGCAATTGAGTTAGCACTTCTCTTCACCCAGCTGTACTTCACCTCAATATCCCTACTCAGCCATTTAAATTTTTTCTTTTCATTGCTGTAGTTCCACAAATCACTGTTGTCTCCCTTCAGCCACCTAATCACCACCTTTGAGTCCCCTTCAAGGACCAAGCATCTGATGTTTAATTCTCTTGCTCTTTGGATTCCTTGCAGAACTGCAAGAATCTCAGTCCTAAGAGAGTCACCCTCTCTGATTGGGCCTGAGAACATGGCAGTAATAACCCCATCCTCATTCCTGAACGCTCCCCCAATCCCAAAAGGTCCTGGATTCCTTAAGCTACTACCATCAAAATTCAATTTTATGGATCCAGAGGGAGGAGGGGACCAAGAAGGCCTAGAAGTCCTCTTACATTGGGCAGAGGTAGTTATCTCTTTCCAATTTCTCAATAAGTCAACCGTGGAAAGTTCTGAGAATAACTCCATAGATTTCAGCCAGTGAACTACCCTTAAGTGTATCAGTTCTAATAAGTTTTCTGTGGTTCTTTCCTTGTCTGAAAAGATTCATGAGTTTCTCTCTTCCCATATGAACCAATACACTTCCACCCTAATGCTTCTCCACATAATCTTCTTTCCAAGGGTTGATTATGGCTTCCGTCAAATGCAGATCTGAAGATTGGAGAAAGGAGGGATAAAAATCATCTACAGTCTGATGTGTAATTTGACTATGGTTTCCTTGATCTCTTCCCACACACACAATCCAGAAGAATGATACCATCTATGATCTGATTTTTATTCGGTTGATTATGGCTTATTGTAAAGAAGGAAGGAGTGAAAAGGAAATATTTGTTTCGAAGATAGACTGAGAAAGAGAGAGAGTAAAATGATGTTGTAAAATTTCTTGATTTTATATTGTATTTCTCATTCATTTCTCTAAGTCAGAATCAAAAGGTATTCCTCTATTGCAGGGGGTGTAATCAAGGGAAACTATCCGTAAGATTCCCTGAATGGACCTTAACCAAAAAAAAAAAAGAATTCAATCATTTGATTTAGTGAATTATGTTGTATGAGAATTTCTTAAAACTTTCACACCAACAATTCCCATTTGAAACCATCTACCATGCTTCTTTTCTCTATAATTTTATTCCAGGTTGACTTCATTGTGTATCTTTTGCAGTTAGTGCCCCTTCTCCCCCATCCATGTCCATCCCTGATGTGTATCTTAAACCTGACTTATCAACTCTGAGGCTTTAATTCCTGGGTATTAAACTGGTTTCATTGAATAGGATTAACCACAAGTTGCTATTAGTGTTCTCTGTTCTGCATTTCTTGATACAATCCTTGATTTCACAAATTAACTCTTTTACATTGTCTAACTCTTGGAATTGGGATTCAGGTTTATTCATCTGGGAGCAACCGTTGTAATCTATTCTCTAATAACTGGAAGAGAATTGGTATGCTCTTTATTTTTCTAGTGGTTATAACTTAAATAGAGGTTAAGTATTCAAATGGTGTTTTAATTTGAATCATTTTTTACCTCTTATTGTTGGTGCTTTTAATCACCCCATTTAACTAATCAATATTTTAAGTTTCTATGATGTTGGACAACAATTATATTTACCTTTTCTGGTGGTTAATTATCAAATTTTCATAGGTTTGCAGCAAAGAAATAGGTTTATATTTTTAAGTGAAATTAAGCTGTCGGCCATAGGTAATGAAATGCATTGATGATTCAGTGCAAAATCCAATAAGTGCCACTCTCAAGTAGGGATGAGCAAGAAAAACCAAAAAACTGACTGAAACCGAACCGGTCGGTTTGGTTTTGGTTCGGTACTTTTAAAAAACCAAAGGTACCGATTCAGTTTTGGTTAACCAATATAAAAAGCTGACAGTTAACTGAACCGACCGGTATACATATATTTCTATATATTTTATATATTTATGTATATTATATATATTATATACATTTTATATTTTCTATACTATAAATTAATAAATATGCAATATATATATTTGTAATGTATAATATATTATTTATTATTTGAAATATAATAATTTATATTATATATTTCTATTTTTATTATATAATTATATGTTTTTTACAATATATATTATAAATATAAAAAACCAAAAAACTGATGAACTGAACCAACGATCAACCGAACCCCGTTCAACCGACCGGCTTCGGTTCGGTTTTGGTTACCGGTTTTCTAGAAACCGGTAGGACTGGTTTGGTTTCAAAAATAGGCCCACAGTTCGGTTAACCGAACTGTGAGCACCCCTACTCTCAAGTTGCACAAGTCAAGTCCTTATTTGCAGTTGAGGTAAATGTTTCTTATAAGTTAGTCTTTATTTTGACTCAGATTTAACTTTTGTATGTATCCAAGTTTAACCAATTATTGCATGCATCTTAAATTCTTGAACCAGCTAAAAAGATCCAAGTTAAAATAAATGTATTTATTTGGCAAGTTCACAGTTTCTGTCATATTTGAAAAAAGAACCGGTTTGTGATGATTTGGTGACTATCACCATTATCCACTGGATCATAAGGTGGGGGAATTTCAGGGTATTTTTTTAGCAAGTTTACCATTTCTGCAAATATATCTGAAAAAGAATCAGTTTGTGATGATTTGGTGACTATCATGGTTATCCACCAGATCTTAACTAGGCGGGGGACTTTCAGTGCATTTATTTAGAAAGTTAACTGTTGCTATCAAATGTATTTGAAAAATAATGTTTATGACGATTTGGTGGCTATCACCATTATCCACTGGTTCTTAACTAGGTGGGAGAATTTCAGGGTATTTCAGTTGATGATATTGTTGGAGGCTGGGTGGTGGTGGCTTCCTCTTCATTTCCAAATTGACTATTGATCATGATAATATACCTTCTCTTAGAAGAGCTATAAATTAAGTTATGATGGTGCTCAAATGGAAATGCACGCCAGTCAAGCTTTGGAGATGTCTTTAGTAGGCATGATGGAAGGTTGTATTCAGGCCTCAGTGGATATGGGAATCCTATTGGAACTTATCTATTCTTCCTTGTCCATGGATTGAGGTTAATGTGTGCCATGGGGTTTTATTGGATGGAGGTGGAAGGAGAACCAACATTGATTGACCGGATGTGTAGAATAGCTTGACGGTCTGTGGCTCCTTCAGCATCTTGTTACAGAAGCTGGGTCTATGGTTCTAAATTGAACACGTCTGGTGTAGGATGAAAAGGAGAATGGCCTATTTCGATGAATGTGGTGGGAGGAAGAGGGAAATTAAGGATCTGAATTATAAGAAAGATTCGGGTCTAAAATAGATAAAAAGAGAAAGATTGCACTTTTAGGAGAAAAGAGAGGAAAAAGAGAGAAGA